TCTCTACAGTTTATTTTTCTAGCTGATTAATGAGTTTATGGTTACCGAATATGTTTTTTCTGAGGTAAATGTGACCTAAAGCGATCTGTCACTCCACATTAAACGGCGCCAAAACGGTATTTATTGTTTGAATACTGCAATACAATGGACAGAATTTGAAATCTGAGACTTTATGTTTCATATTAAAAGTAACAAAGCACAATGCTTATTGCGATATATTGGTTGGGAAGTGCCCTTCAATGTTCCGTCCATTAACTGAAAACAGGCTAGACTTTTTTGTTTCGCAAAAATGTGAATCGATTAAAATAGAGATATCTCTATTTTTTACCCAGCCCTAACAAATAGCAAGTTTTTTTTTTTTAAATAAGTTAGAATAGACATAGAATAGAGAGCTTGTGTTAAGTGTTACATTATTAAATTAAATTAATTTTATACTTTTCTGAATCCAGCCCCAAATTGCCAATTCTTCTTGAAAACCAATGACCTCCAGTCACTTTGTGAATCGCTGTCAGCGTGAATGCTCTTTAAGATTGTGATGTTTTAGCAGGCTTGTTCCTGTCATTGTATATCAGTTAAACTGGGTTGCACAGAAACCATACGCTTTGGAAGGAGCTGAGTCTGTAGTAACTCACCAGATTATTATGATTGACAGCCTCTTTCAAGAGCTGCAGCAATGTGCGCCAAATCAAAATTATCCAGACACTTACACAGCCTCTATATTTTCACCAAAATGCTTTCATGTACCTGCTTGAGAGGTGTTAAGACATCAAACTGCGCGCAGACAGATGTTTTAAAAACTGCATTGATGTATCACCTATAGTGGACTGAAAGCTTAAAGAGCATAATCACCTGCACAAGCTGCAAGTGCTGGTTTTCATAGAGCTTCCTATTTCAGACGACCCACTCGATCATGCTGAAAAGCTTGTTGTTTGAGTCAGGTTCAGTCGTGTTACCTAACAGCACGATACTGTAAGTCCAGACTAAATCAGCGAAGCTCCAAAGGACTGCAGTGCAGAAGTTGCAGTGATTGATGATGGGCCTCTGAGGCTGACAAACTTCAGCCCTCTGGCAAAAACATAGGAAGTATCAGAAGTTCTCCCCTCTGCCATCTTCACACAAAAAGATACCTTTGAGCATTCTGTTTTTATTTACTGAAACATTATCTGTAAAGGACTCTTCTGAGACAGCGAAAGATCACAGCATTTCCCAACAACTTCTGATGTGTGACTCTATGGATGGCAGGTTTGCCGAAGATTTCAGTTAGTTTGTCCCTCCACTTACGCCAGCCCTGTCCTCTTTCAAAAGCATCAACACTTAACCTCAACAAGCTTCACTTATTCTTTAAAATCAATCTCCCTTCTTCCTCAGATGGGTCAAAATTGGTGTCACGGGGGAGAGGTGTGATTAAGCACTGAATTTCTGTAATGTCTGTGCTCCCTCGAAATAAACTAAAAATGAGCGTTGTGCTCCTGAAAAATATCTGTGCTAGCAGAACGTCTTTCTATCCATTGAGAAGCAACATAATACGACAGTAAAAAATTCCCCCATAAAGCAAAAACAAAATGGGCTTTCACTAAATAAGTAGTGTTTTGAAAAGCCATCTTGTTATATCTGTATTTGTCAGATTTTTTATCAAAACTTGCTATGACAACTGCTCCACAATGTAGAACAAACTGCACAGTTCGTGTGAATGAGTGATGTTTCTCTGTAAGTGGTCCTGCCCTTCTCAACAGCAGCACTCTGATCAGGCCGTCTGTGTTTGGTCCATGCCAGCTTTAACATTTGTCTGTCTTCATCCAACTGTGCCAGCAATTTGGCCTCGTGCTGGGCTCTCTAAAAATGGCTTTTAATAACCGTCTGAATGGCACAAATATAAACAGATGCTGTTGTCTTCTCATGGCCACCCTGCCAATCAGATTCAGTCTGAGAGGGTGCATGAAGCTAATTATCGAAAAACTAAAAGCAGCTATGCATTTCTTTGATTGAGATTTAATAAAGGAGAACAAGACAACATCCTCTCATGCTCTCCGTCTCCCAGCTTGGCTTTTAGTGCCAGGAGTGGGAACAAATTATTATTTAATTTATTTTATTCAAAAGATTGGTCAATAATGCTATTTAAAAAAAATCTAAAAATGTATTAAAAACATGTATTATTCAAAATATATACAATAAATATATATATGTGTTTATATAAATATATATGTGGCAGAAATGAATATTAAAATATTGTTTATTGTCCATCCCTACAAATTAAGCAGACAAGCTGACTGAATAATTGAATATGAACAATATGTGAGATAGAGCGTGTTGAGCAATCACTACATAAGCAGGAAGATCCTGACTTCAAAGGTAGAATGCTATTAACCAACCTCTGTGTGAGCAGCCTTGTTTCAAGGTCTTCATGCCAGTTCATGTAATGATAAAAACACAATCTTTCATTGAATTAACTGGCCTTGTATACCTTGATCCGGAGCAACACTGTGTTTTCAATCTGACCTTGGACAAGAGGCCTTCAGCGGTACTGAAGCTCACACAATACTGGAACCCTCAAAAATAGAAATTAATTTTGCAGTTCAAATACTTTGCATTAGCATGCTTGATCCGTTTTCTGTCCAAATCTCAATGGTCAAACCCTTTGATCTGCAAAAACAGTTCTTCTTAACACTGTTTGAAAATGTAGCCATCTATCAGACATCTCAAAGTTCTATATTGATTTTACAAAACAAGGCACTTATTTTGATTCATATTCTGATCACTTATTCTGATTTAGACCTAGTTTCGGCAAACCAGAACAATCAAACCAATAAATTATTCTCAGATTAGCACTGAAACAGAGTGAAGAGAAAGGCATCAGTAAATAAAATAAAGGCAAAAAGAAAAATTACAATTAGAGACATATCCCAGTCGAAGAGGAAGAAGTGTGAATGTGAGAAGTGGAAGACCAAACATTAATAGGGCAGACAATAAGACAACAGACTGAATGAACGCTTACGGCTGGGACACACCAAGCCGACTGTCGGACGACTGTCTGTTGGGCTAGTTTTTTTGGTGTGTTCCACACGTCGTCTTAGTTTGCCCAATTCAACATGTTGAATCGGTGTTGGGCCCGTCGGCGAGAGCGAGAATTCTGATTGGATGCTCAGTTTAGCGAACGAGCCAGTGCCCAAGAATTAAAATGAAAGTGATAAAAACTAGCAAGTAAATGAAGGCGGCACAGTTCTAATGTTACGTGATCTTACTCAAGCATTCCAATATGCGAATGTTTTCATAACAACATGAGCTGCTTAAAATGAAGAAAGTTATCAACATAACTGATATTCAAAATAGTAAGCAAGCATTTTGTATATCTGTGTGTATCTCGTATATCCTTGTTTCAGTTTCTCCTTTTGAATGACAAATATATTCTATTGATAGCTGCTGATATTAGGGTTGGGTATTGTTTGAATTTGATCAATTCTGATTCCGATTCTGCTTATCGATTCCAATTATTTTCGATTCCCAGTTTCGATTCCAATGTTAAATAAAAAATGATATCAAACATTTACTCCGTCTCTTTTTGCAAAACATTTTGCACTATACGTCGGAGCACTAACCACGAGGCTATCGATGCTGACACCTTTAAGCCTTTCTATCTATTTTTTCTTTATGACAGTAATTAAGGACAACAAATTGCCAAGTGTCTTTTGTCCAAATGTAAATTTCAAACTTGTAATGCAAAGACTTCAAAAACTGTATCTATTTTAGTTTGGGAATGCTATTGGGGGTGGGGGGTTGGGGTGTTAACCAGTTAAATCTTGTCAGAATGATCATATTTACGAGATGAGCACAAACAAGTTGTCACTTTTCAAGCTGGGGGCATGCCAATTAATCAATCATGGTGGAAATAAATTGGTATTGGCCATAATTAAGTTTAAATTGTAACTGCTGATTGTATAATTCAGGATGTAAACATTCTGTACACTGTTCATAAGGAATAGCTTAAACTGGCTATAAAGCTTGCCAGAAAATACAATTAATTTAACCAGTTTATAAGACAACAGGCTAAAGTGACAAAACTACATTTCCGGGCTCCAATAACTGACACCAATCTTTTGAATGGCAGTGTACATATCAGCATAATACTAAGATACATACAAGTATTGTACCAAGATCACACTTATTGCACAAACTTTGCTCTTCATTGTGTCCAACTAGCACTAAAAACAATTCACTGAGCAAAATCCTATTAAAAAAATCATAAACTTAGCAGGAGGAATGGAAGGTGTCATACACACAAAGCCCCTTGTAAACCCAGTGCTGACAGAAAGGACACGTCGGTTGTGTCACGATGGGGCCAGTTTGACATTTAATGACTTGTCTGCCCACAGCTGGAGAGAGCTTGCACAACACCAGAGCAGCCACTGATTCGCTCTGGTCATAAACACTCATCACGCTACTGACAGGTAATGAGGGGGAAATCAGGCACCCGCAGGTACAAGGAGAAGACGAGGATGGATGCAGCTGCATTTGGTCTGTGGACAGAATGACCAGTGGGAAAGCATCTGCCGTGAAAGGTGAGATGGATCTATCCTTGAATTTAACTATGACTCTGAAAGTGTGAAATATCTGTCCACTCTAATCTCTCTCACGCTCACACAAATGAGCATGGACACGTGTGCACGCGTGCATTCATCAAGACCCCCGCTGACCTCGGAAAAAGGTTGCGGGTGTAAACATCATGACAATGATGTGAGCTCTTAAATTGATGTGCTTGGGGAAAAAAAAGAGCCTTTGACATTTAAAGACAAGCTAATGAAGTTAGTCAGAGGCCCCCTCCATAATGGCTGGTACACGGCTGGCCTGTGGGTAAGATGTGAGAAATGAGTGCACTTCAAATGGCAAATGAGGAAACGTCAATGAATGACTCATTGGACCGGTGTTGTGTGTTAAAAGACAGAGCAGGAAAAAAAAAAAAAAGAAAGGAGAGAGAAATGGAAAGAGCAAGCAAAAAGCAAACTGACCTTTGGCTTCTGTTCCAGCAAGCAGGGCATGCAGTAAAAGAGAGAGAAAGAGAGAGGGATTGTTGGTTAGAAGCTGGTAGCCATATGGACTGACATGCTTTATACTGAAATAAAAACTCTTGAGCTGGAAGCTAAGTGAGTTAGCCAGTTGTCCGTCTGCAGCGTGTAATTCAGTTAAAAGGCTATTAAAAAGCTCTAATTTACCCCCGTAGACAGTGCAGGGCAGATATATATAAAAGCTGGGACTAGAAAAGCCGCCCTGGTGCCGTTTGTCGAACTAAGGTTACGGAACAGGACAAAAGACGTGGCATGGCTTATATATAGCGCCAAACAATTTCTGATTACATATGTTGCAAGAAATTATCAGAAACAGCTGAGATGATGTAAGGCAATTTTGTCTGGCATCTTCAGTGTGGCTTCTTGAACAAACACACTCCTTCACCTCTGTACCTGTGCTAAAACAAATGCTCAGAAAACTGTGCTAAGAAAATTACAATTAGACTTAGAGCATCTCTGGGGATGGTATTAAAAAAGCGGGGATCAGGAACTCGCCAGCACTGCGTCATTAGCCTCTCTTTAATTCACGATTACAGTGATAACCTGCAGGCCAAGCTGGACTGATTAACTCGTGCTGACCTGCACTTATTCAAACTGCCACCTGGGAGCCTAAGCAATCAGAAGACAGACAGGAGTCAGTTCAACATGCTACATGCAATCATGGTGTAAAATAAGAGTCTCCTGTGTACAGAAATGATTTGTACTTATCTACACTTTTTAACTATTGCACTTGCATACAATTTTTTTTTTTTTTTTAAGTTTAAAGAGAATCTGAAATTCTGTCATTTACTCAACCTCAAAATGATATTCCATTCCTGAATTACTTAGTTTCTTCAGTGGAACATAAAAGATGATATTTTGAACAATGTTAAAAAAAACAACAGTTTTTGGCCATACAATAAATGTCGATGGGGTACATTTGACATTGATTGTCATTATACAAACAAAACTAATCTATGGGACTTTTTTAGCCTATCTTACCATCTGCCAGATAAACATGGGTCAGAAAAGTACAAGTATTAAAAACCGTTTTATTAATTAAATAAGATGAAAAACTTAAATGATAATTAGAAATGTTGCCTTGGCAACTAACTGAAACAAAATAAGTACTACAATTACTAAAACTAAATAAAATAACAAAATAAATGGAATTAAAATTCAAAAATAGAAAAAAAATTATAATAAAATTAATAAAAAAATGACAAGCACATAAATTACTAAAACTGAAATTACAATTAAACTGAAAATATAAAAATAACAGCTAATTCAAAATATTAATACTATAATAATATATAAATGCTAAAATAAAACAGATTTTGATATTTTCCACTAAAAAAAAAAGAGGTAGATATTGACATACTTGGATATTGCTTGAGTACCTGCTTAAATACAAATCTACAGGATTTAATTTATTTATATTTTCCCAGTTTTATAATTCGCCAAAACTTAAAAAAGTAACTGTACACTTCTGAATAACCTAAGTGGTTTCAGTATCATTCATAAGGGGCTTGTTCAAATCCATAACCTAAAGTGTGAGTAATAGTAACAGTGATGCCACACTTACAAATACAAATGAACAGCCTTTTGTTACCATTAAAGGGGCAGAAGGTGACTTCAAGCCTAAACAAAATGAGCACGGCAGGTATACAAATAATGATGAACATTTCAGATACTGAATTCTTTGTTCAGCGTCTACATGAGGAGATCCCCTGAGGTGTGCTTTACATTTTTGGAGGGTGGAAGAGTCTCCATCTCTGCCTGTGTAGCTCTCCTCGGTGAGATTAACAGTGTTGCACAGAAGGCCGTCTCTCCCACAAATCAGCCTGTTATGAAGACAAAAACTCCCCCTGCAACTAAAATAAACCCGTATTTTTTCCACCCCAAATGACAGTGATAAATAAAAGTGCTACATGAAGAGAAACAGCGATCCAAAAAATGCAAGGAAAACAAGAGACAAACCAAATGTATGCCTCCTGAATGTTTTTATCTGATCAAAGGCTGTTTAAAATGGCGGTCTCATTGTCCCACAGTGAGTATATCACGTCAGACAGCATTGAAGATCTCCATCAGCAAAAGACACCTCAGGGAGCAGAAAATGAGACCGGTGCTTTGGAGGAATGAGCCACAATGAGCACTATCTCAGACCTGTCGGTTTCCCTGAAGAGAATGTTAAAAAGTTCTACCTCTCTGAAGAGGGATGTTTTTCCTCTTCTGTTTGGAATTGATAGTTTCCAACTCTCAATTCACAGAAACACAACTGCCTTCATCAATTATTGAGTTCAGAGCAGAGAAAATAGTGTTCATTTACGCCAGGTCAAGGTCAATCGGCTGAATAAATGTAATACTACAAAGAAAAACCTCCCAAATGAGCATAAAAAGAGATTTAAATGCTCTTCAGGAACATGAACGACTCTCGAAAATCCAAATGTACAACCTTGAAGGTGGGAAACGTTTATAATTTAGATCACTTCCGGATAGGCTTCACGTCTGGTTCCCAAGACAACTGGCGCGGTGTTCATAATATCAGTGCTTTCATTTTATTCGTTTTTATCAGATATTCGGTGCGTACATGAGTGTGCATCATTGTCTTTGTGCATGTGGGTTTAGGGACCCGGCTAGCGCCCTTGTCAATGTGATGTACTGCTTTGATTGGATCACAAACACCCTCTCTATTCATACCAAAGCGTTTGCCGCCTCTGAACCACTATGAGCTATGGGACACGAGTTTAATTCTATTCCTCAGAAAGAGAAGGCCAAGCGGTGGCAACACATCCATAATGCACAGACCATCCTCTCTGCTGGAGACTTTCCCGGTCATGTATTATCTGTGTTTTATGGGAAAATTGCTTTATGAGAGATATGAGATTTAATCGAAGGCAAAAATAAGCTAATGTAGCTTTTCTGTTATATGTTGCGGTCAGCGATAATGTCACAGGACTGCAGTATAGAGAAATAGAAAGCGTGTGTGGGGTTTCAATAAGAAAGATACTACAATGAGAATAACATCCTCCTCCTTTATCTCCCATTTTTCCCCCATCCTTACGTGATAGTTACGTTTCTGATAATTACGTGGCTGACAGGAGAGCATTTTGAAATTAACATGAAACGACACTTGCAAGCAAGTTATACCACATACTTTAATGGAACATACTTGCAGGAAATATGTATTAGGAAAGGGGGAGGAACTTGATGTATCTATTGGGAATTGATCAGTAAAGTGCAATGAGGAGCGATGCGGAGATGATTTTATACTAAAAAATTAATCCATATTTACTAGAGCCTCAATGGCAGTGCTTCATTAACAATTTATTAATACCATAACCTGCATTATTTTAACATTAACCAGCATTATAATAATTTATGAAAATGAAAAGATTGTAGAAAACCTATAACGGTGCCCTAAAAAAACACTTAAAGGGGTCATATGATGCTATTTTAAAGATCATTATTTTGTGTATTTGGTGTAACAGAATATGTTGACATGCTTTAATGTTCAAAAAACACATTATTTTTCAAATACTGTACATTATTGTAGGTCCTCTATGCCCCGCCTCTCTCAAACACGTCGTTTTCAACAAAGCCCCCTCCTTTGACAAGCGTAGTCTGCTCTGATTGGCCAGCTGAACCAGTGCATTGTGATTGGCCGAACACCACAAGCATGCGTGGGAAATGTAACGCCCCTTACCATAATCGCGAGCGTCAGCTTTCAAAGTAAATATCAAGACAGTTAATAATGTCGTTAGTTTTACCATCAGTTCAAGCCCGAAAGGGCAACAGAGTCGCGTGACAGACACAGTGATGATGCAGTACACAAGCCGCGGTTAAGACAGCTGACGCTACTGTGATGTGACGCTGTCTCTCTCTCTCTCACACACACACACGCACGCGCACACA